AGGGTATGGGTACGTGTTCTCTGTGGACCAGTCCAAGTCCAGCATGGCTCACGCTGAATCAAAGCAGAGGTGTTGACTGCTGTGTTGGACTGTTGATGTCTCTGCGCTGTGCTTCTCAGCTGTCTTCTTTTGCTTGGCTGCGCTGTGCCGCTTAATTGATTGGCTCTGCATGCTTAGGATATGCAGCACCAAACGGATGAATCTTCCCCAAACCCTGCACACAGGGGTGCATCATGCTGACACAGGACTCACTTGAGATGTAGGCAGATTTGGGGTTGGTTTATGGAAAAACGGTCACAGTTGTCTGCATTGTGCTCTTTGTTTCCAGACCGTAGCAGATGGACCTTAGAGCTGGTTTGACAGATAAGTGGCTCAGGTCTGTCAGAATTTGAGCTTATACTCTGAGTAGTGCAGGAGATATGAAAGACTGCTTTATGGACTCATGATGGCTGTAGAAGCAGCACTGTGCAAATGTAGTTGTGTTCTGTATAAATTAAATAAATTCAGCCAGACCCTAAGATGCCTCAGCATTAAGCCAGTTCGGTTGTCTGCATGTTTGATGCACAACTCAGGCAACTGAGAGTTTACTGTGCTTCTGCTCCATATGTTGATTATTAGTATTGTACATAGATTTTGTTTGTTTATTTGTTTCTATTTTCAAAATGGACCCACTTTGTTGTAATGAGACCAAGTTAATCACCATATCAAATTGGTCAAAATTCTTTTTACATAGATTATTGGTGAATACCAGGTGAGAGAAACTAAGGAAGCATGCACTGGTGTGAGATGTTCAAATTGACTTATGAGCAGGAAGGTATTATGTTGAGCTCCGGGAGAGGGCAATGGCCTGGGGCAAAAGTTCCAGATATAATTTCGTCTAGTGCACTGCATGTATTCTTGAATGAGTATTTTTCATCTCTGGGCATGTAAATTGCTATGCTATAAAGCTTTTTTTTTTTTTTTTTTAAGAATGCCAACAAGGGAAACTAGTCCATCCTTCTCAGTATTACATATTTGCTCCCTTTGAGAGCATCAGTGCTGAATGAGTTTCTGCACACAAAACCTAAACAGACAAATCTCTGCAGCCTCTGTAAACATACCCTCTAAAACAGCAGCTAGATAAAATGTAGTCATATCCTGCAACAATGATAGAGTTAAATATTCGGACGTGTGTTGTTTAGTGATCTCTTGGAAGCTCACTAAATCAGTTTGTTGGTACAGCTGCAGTGCTTAGGGCCTAAACCATAAAATTCACCTCTGTTGGAAAGAATTGATAGCTCTTATCTTTTGCAGTAGTGTATGCCTCTCTTGATTAGTGTTCCACTTAAAATGACTGAAGTGAAGTTATTAGATAAAAATGCAAAGTTTTGAGGGGCTGTCTAAGCAATATGTATTGTATGTATGAATGTTTCTGCCTGTAGTTCTGGATTGTTCAGTTGTAAAGTCACTCCCAGTGGTAGAGGCAAAAATGCTTGTAATCATAATGCAGAAGTTTATAGAGTGTCTTTCTAAACACTCAGTTAGCTCAGGTGCTCTTGGATATGCTCGAAAAGGAAACTACCGTAAATATATTGATGAAATAAAAGGTGGCAATGTTAGCATTGTCTGTATCTCCTTAATCTGTAGCAGCCTGTTACAAGGAATCTTTAAATAACTGGTTTTGAAAACCAGTAATTTAAAATACCATATTTTGGCAAATCATCAAAATCAATTTCCTGTTACAGGAATAGTTTTTCTTACATTTATCTTCTCTGCAAGAAAGCCTTCTGTGTATGAATTCCTTCATGCCTGAATGACATGATTCAGCTACCGCTAAATCATGAACAATTCTATCAGGTTAAAGCTTCATGAGTGGTAGTTATCTCCTGAAGCCTGTATGGCTTGCAGAGTGCTTGGTTGCAGTTCAGTAGCCCGTTTTGAGTACCTGGAAAAAAAATAATTGAACACTTGAAAGACACTCTTAGTATTGAAAGATGTGATTTGTTTTTTCTCATTTTTTTAATATAAAAACATTGAATGCCTCATTTAAGAAATCTGGAAGTGACAAAGCAGACAATAAATTTTGGAACATAGATATAACTGATAGACAGCTATAGAAATAATTGACAACAAAAAGATGGATGTTTAATTGGGAAGAATGAAGTAACTGAGTGGAATTCCTGGTCACAGTGAAACCATGTACAACCTCTTGATTTATTTTTAGTGCATCTTCCCAAACATGATTTCTCAGTGGTTTTTTTTGTCTTGGCTGACTTGTGTTCCTTGTGGCAAAGATCTTTTTTTGTCAGTCTCATTTGTTTTATGGTACTAGAAAAAGAAGTTCTAAATCTAGGACTTGGTTCTAAGCTTAATTTCCCAGCTGTACCCTAATAGAACTTATCTAGTTTGCCCTCAGGAACTGAAATTGTTGTAAATTGAGAACTCCTAAAATAGTTGGCTAAGATTCCCCCCCACCCCCAATGCCTTTTTAACAAATTTCCATGATTGTGATGTTGTCCACAGCCCTGGGCAATAATTAATTCTGTGTTGAGAAGTTCACTACGGTCTTACTTCATAAGTAACATTTCAGATTATTCTCTCAGGTCACTATATAGTAATGATGGAATTGTCACTTGGCCGTCACAAGGAATATTAACTCCCTGTATCCCTATTTCCTGGAGCAATCTTCAATTCAAGACAGATGATCAGTTTTGTTTATGTATCACAGGTGTTTTCCACCTGAAATGATAAGCTTGTGCATCAGTTACACCTTGGTTCTTCTTGCTTTGTTATGAACTACTATGACAAATGGTTGAAACAGTTCTGAGGCAAGTTTTCTTAAAAATGTCCTATATTTGCCAGTTGATACAAGCTGGGTAGTTTTCATTAAGTCATCTGTTGCTGATCTTCGTCTCTTCATGAGTTAGCGTGGGCTTAGTTTATGAGTGTGTATGTGGTAGTCTAGTTCTTTCCCCAAAGTTCTATTGTGTTGACGTTTTTAATAGTCTTTATTTTTACTTTAATTCATTAAGAACTTGCTGTGAAGACTCATGAAATCTCAGCTGTTTTATATTAGCTGCCTTTCCCACACTTTATTGATTCCTGTAACTTGGCTTTCACTCTGTAATGTGAACTATTGCAATCATTGCTGAAAATATAACTTGCTAATGGGAGCTGCCTTTATTTTCCGCTTTTGTTATTTTCCTTGTCACTTCACCTAAGCAAGAAGTGCCAGTAGCGTGATCCTATGGGCTGGGATAAATAAATATGCGTAAGAGCTGATAGCTTCTGTTGCTTTAATAATGGCATTGTATTTTCAGAGTATCACAGTGCATATAATTTGTGCTTTTTCTATTTAAAACCCCCCCCAACAACACAACTAACAAAACCCTAGAACTTGGCAGGGTAAACATTCTTTTGGAGAAGAAATTTGCATCCTCAAAGTCTTAATAGAATCACAGAACCTTCCTTTTTATATGTCATGACTTCAAACTTCTTAATTCCAAAATCTCAAAATAAAGAAATGCCTTTGCATTGGAAAGAGTAAAAGGTTTCCTTTTACATTAGAATCCTTGTGTTCCAATACAAAATAAAATAAAACTGAAGCATTTTCAAAATAATATTTCAGAAAATACAAAAATAATAAATTGTTGAAATTCTTTTGCCTGCTGTTCCTCTTCTCACACTGGTTTTTACTTTGGATCCAAACTTCGAAGTGCAACCTGCACTGTGTATACTGCTGGAATGTGTTTGGAAGTTTCTGTTGCCAACTTTTAAAGTGTATCTATGTTCTCACAGCTATATCGTACTATTATTAGTGCAGTATATTTTTTTTCCAATTAACAACTTGGTAGATGCACAACTTACCAGGATTTGACATTGCTTTCAATAAATTTGTTTGAGCTGAAAACGCTTAAGTTTTACTCTGTAAGGCTAACAGTGGCTTTAGCTCTGCTACCTAAAGGGTCAGCTTTTTCCTTTTTGTGATACGGATTGTATACTTCAGTATTGCAGTACACTCAAGACAGACCCCGTCATCATTTGAGGGGGCTGGGATTGGGTGGTAGAATATTCCCTCTGGAAGCTCATCTTTTGGAATTCACTCCGTGTAAGCCTCTGACTAAATATGACGAGTGGGAGAAGAGGGGACATTGCAAAGTTTTGTCTCTAAATCCTTATAAAAATAAATAAATAAATCTCATTTGTTGATAATGCAAGTGAAACAAAAGACTGTAATGGGTTTAAATTTGATATGCTATTTTAATGAAGTATTAGCAGCAAGGTAAGTTTTCGCAATATTTCTTTTTGTAGTGATTGCAGTGTAGTGAATCTACACTGAAGTGTATAGAGCTTGAGACTTGTTGTAATGTCTAAGCATTATGCATGTCTATATGTTGTCCTAAGCCTGGGTTCTTTACCTGGTGTGCAAACCAATAACACTCAGAGCAGAGGTATTTCCAAGTTTATTCCATTAATGCGCAGAAATGCTCCAAAATGGGAGCACACCTTAGTTCGAAAATCTCCACTTTTATACACTGATTATTACATATTCAAACAATTAATATGTATTCATTGTCATTATCTTTAATGATTGGTCAAGATTTCTTTGCTTCCCATGTAAATTAGTGCACAGACTCTGTCGTCTTCTTCCATTGCTCTCTTTTGAGTAGGTGGCATCATTTGGGGAGGTGGTCAATGAGTTGATGGTTGTGATCTTCCCCTGCCAGAATTACCTTTTACCTACTTCTCCTCTGATCTTGGCAGTTCCAAGTGGTTTCCTCAGTTTGCTGACCAGGCCTACAGTTCATCACTCTCTTGACAGGAATACCCTGCTTATCAACCATGCTACGTTGTCTGGTGGTTAGTTCCTTCATTGAATCGTAGATAAATCATGTCTCGTTACTATTTATCTATTTTAATATTAGGTAATCAGTTAAATAGGGTTGGGGCAGTATAGAGGACTTGAGCAGCAGAAGGTTTCCTTGGTTGCTTCAGTTACATTTTACATTTCGTTTTCCTAGTTAATATCAGTTTTACTACAGCAGATATATATATGTGCACACAGGAAACCTCGACCTGTCTCTCAGCTGGTTGCACAACAGGTTCCTCAGCAATTCGTGCCCCCTACACAATCAAAGAAAGAGAAAAAAGACAAAGTAGAAAAGGAAAAAAGTGAAAAGGAAACAACAAGCAAAAAGAACAGTCATAAGAAAACCAGGTAAGAATTTTAGTAACTTCTGCGATATTGGTAAAACATAATTTAAAAAAGAAAATAGGAAAATGTTCTGCAGTTTTACTGCTTTGTAAGTGCTGTGGCAAACTCTTTCAACAAGGCTAAATATTTGTATGTGAAGTTTTATTGGTTTAGGATGCCTATAAAATGTAAAGAAAACCTGCAGTTTGTAATTTTGACCAGAAGACGGAGACCAGCTGAATGTAGAGAGAAAGGCTTGCGTTTTTTGTTAAGGGTTACAGGTGTATTTCTCACACCATACAAAACTGTAGATAGGCAAACGGATGATACCAGTCTCTGAAAAGAGAGGGGATAGGAGTGACTAGTTTTCATGCCAAAATAATAGGAGAAAGAGGGAACCAGTACTGGACTGCAGAAGTGTGGGAAAGTAGCATGGTTATTGCCATCCTTGCAGAACTGGAATAAACTTTGAAGGGCTGGAATAGGATATAAATTAACGTGACAGGATAAGGCATGTATATTACCTAGCGATAAAAATCTCTGTGCTACATCTGGGATGCTGAAGGAAACCTTGGACTCTTAGAACAGAGAACATGAAATACTACAGTACAGACAAGCAGTTGTAAAAGCCTTGATCTTTCTGTAAGACCAGGTAGAAGGAAGGTGCAAACAGCAAAACAAAAGCAGCAAGTTTAACACAGTCTAAGTATAAAATTATTGTGGCAAGAATGATGTGCCAAAAAGCTCAGAAGTGTACAAGACATGTAGTCTAATAGAACGTGGGAGGAACTATTGATTTGTTTGGCTTTTTCTTGCTTCTCTTGTGCCTGGAGTGAGATCATCAGGATCAGAACCAGGGGGAGATTGAGAGTCAAGAGACAACAGTTGTTAAGAAAACCATGGTTAGGATTAAGGACACTGAGATAATACTCAAATTTACTAGCTTACCTCATGCAGCTGAAGTACTTCAGTTATAAAGTATTTGAAGTTAACATAGTGAGTTTTAATTAAACTAATTAAAATTTTATAAATTGAAATATTGATGGTTGAATTGCAATAGTACATTAAAAATGCAAAAGGGAGGTAGAGAAAAAGGGAGAACATTTTAAAAAAACAGCTAAAATAAAAATCTTGAACTGAAATACCAGTATTAAGATTTGCATTAAGAATTGCTACTTGAAATAACTAGGCTACTTTTTTTTTTTTGAATGCTTCAAACAGTTCAGTTTTTCACAGAATTGAGTCACTGGGTAGGATAGGAAGTTAAGAATGCTTGATTAATTTAACCAGATTTCTTCAGTGTCCTTTGAGAAAAGGATATCCTTTTCTCTTTGCCTGAAAACTTGTATATTACTGCTGAAAACGATCATAAAAATCTGAATGCACACTCAATATGATTAATAAGCTCCAGGCACGGCATTTATGCTGGTTGATAATGCTGAATTTTTCTCTCCATTCCTGTGTTACAGAGCAGCAGATTTTCAGTTTTCTTGTAAATTCCTCAGTCACGCTACTTCAGCCTCATGGGAACAAGATGTCAAAGCCTATCTCTATTCTAGCAGAGGAAAGGCATGAGGTGTTTCAGCTGAAGTGACTGGGAACCGATTCTACTTCAAACAAACTCAGATGATAGGGTAAAGGTTAGGGCTTTGCTGTTAGCACACCTGCTAACATGTGATGTCATATTAATTTCTTTTATTGCAGCTTGCACCAGTGAAAGCTGTGGAGTCAGTTAAATGCGTAAAGCTATGCTTTTTGTAACTGATTGTATAAATTCAGCTGTCTGGTGACAGTTTTTCATGGTAGTCAAAGGAAAGTAGTAAATTGAAAGTACTTTATGCTTGTCACCAGCAAAAATGCGATGGCAGAATATAAGTCAGAGTATTCTATGGTCTGTACGTTGTGAAAATCAAACAATTGAAAGATTAGATGAAGAGACACCCTATCAACACTGTGTATAATATCCAGCTCTGTGCATAATTTAAATCACAGCATATGCCAGCAATACCAGAGTTATACTGCAAACACAAAGTCCAGTTCAAATAGTATACTAGTAGTCCTAGTGAGGTTTTGAAATGAAGTAATACCTGCTGCAAGGTAACACTGTCTGTGCTGTTGAATTCAAAAGACAGACACTAACATCTTCATTATTGAATATCATTCTCGATTTAGAATTGTTGCTTAAGGGTGCTGCAGAGATGGGTGCTTCTCTGGATTAAATTAATAACTTTCTATAGCCACAATAAAGAAAGACTTAATTTTTAAAAGTAAAAGCCTTCACATGTGCAACACATCCGTATTGCTGCAGTTACATTATTCATAAGGTCAACTTTTAAATCATCTTAGGACAAGGTAATGTGTTATGTTCAGCTACTTTAATGTCAAACATACTAGGAAACACTCTACCATAAATACTTGTGGTATGTTGTTTTCCTGTGTATTACACATAGCAGTTTTATGTACACATGTATGTTCTCCAGACCTCCTGAAAAGTAGGAGCATGACAAGATGGTGTGTGTGTGCTTTTAATACGATTATTTGCTTTGTTTAGGCCAAGGTTGAAAAATGTGGATCGAAGTAGCGCCCAGCATTTGGAAGTTACCGTTGGAGATCTCACAGTCATAATTACAGACTTTAAGGAGAAAACTAAGTCACCACCTGCTTCCAGTGCTGCTTCTGCAGATCAACACAGTCAGAGTGGCTCTAGCTCTGACAACACAGAGAGGGGAATGTCCAGGTCATCTTCACCCAGAGGAGAAGCGTCATCACTGAATGGGGAATCTCATTAAAGTTTATTTCCTCCAGTTTCTTTAGTCTCTTCTCTTCAAAACATGCAAATACATAACTTCTGTCACCTGTTACCACATTTTCATGACAGATTATCCATGCACAATTGGTATGTTGACTGGAACATAATTTATGCATTTAAAAAAAAAAAAAACCCTCCAGTGGTGGAAACAATAATTTAAATGCAATCTACAAATGCTTACAAAGCCTTTTCAGACCAACTTTTTAATCTTCATGTGTAAAGGTGCCATGAAAATGTGGTTTGAATGTTCATTATGCAGTGTTATTGGTAAGTCCATTTTCACTTTTAGTTTAGTGAATTCTAACACAACTCTTGGAGTCTCTACTATTGGCATGTACTGAATTTAAATTTTTATAACATAGTTCAAGCTGCCTAAATATGTATTATTTGAGAATTGTGAAACATAGTTATATGTATGCAAGTCAGAGATCAACTTAATCAACTATTGCTGCAACAGAATTTTCATAATAATTATCTTCTTAAAAACACCTGCTGGTACTTGGTGTGGTTAAATAGGAAAAATGTTATTAAATAAAACATTTGTATGAATTTTTGCCAATGTTTGACACATTTTACTAGATTACTGTTACTGAATTATGTTTTACCAATATTTTTTCACACTTAAAACACTTATTGTAATGTTTACAAGCAAAATAGAAAACACATTCTAAGCATTGATTGGTTAACCTTACAATTCAGGTAAAGTACTACATTGTCACTGTACACTGGTATTCTATGTTGTGTAACAAATGTGGAACCTCAGATGACTATGCATTTGGCAAAAACTAATATTTGGAAATATGAACATTTGGAAAAGCTTTAAAAATAACAGAAATGCAGTTCTGATTTCTGCTTAGTGCTGTTTCCTTGCCCCAAATTTATCTAGTGTCATATAGTCACTTATCATTTCATTACAGGAATATCAGATGTTGCACAAGAATAAGGAAATAACAGTACTATTAATTTTTTGTTCCTGAATCAGTTTCTTTAATTTTGATTTGGCCTATTAGAATATATTATGTCATAAATCATGCAAAAAACCCAGTACCCTACTTTATGGCATAAACTGTCAACATTTATGCACTTAGCAATATACTGATACAGAGCAGAACTATTTACAATCCCATCTGGTATTATGTAAAATTACCAATAAAATATTTTTGTGAATACAGATTTTGCATTTTTGTTTACAGCCAATAAGTGTTTTGATGCACACATACAATCCATGTATAGAGTTTAAATTATAGATTCAGGTTCAGTACAAAAGTCCATTTAGCTCTTTTTAGTGAGGTAGTCCACTTACACTCCTGTGATTCTTTTCTTTTTCATTCAAAATAAATATATTTTTAAGCCCATGTAAAAGTTGAATGGACCTTTTTGGTAGTGAATCCAGCCCCAAATTATTACCGACATATGATACGTCTTCTTAACAGCTAAAGCAATGGATTTTTGTAGCCCCTGACAATTGTGATGTTTGGTGGTTTCTTGTAGTAATGTATTTTTCTGTTTTTAATGCAGTACTTCTACAGGCACAATGGTACTGTTCTATTTTGTAAGATGCTAGTTGTGAAATACAGTTAGTTGCATAAAATGAAAGTCTGATGTGATATCTGAGAACATACATACCTCATTCCTTGGTGTTGCTGTTTAAACTTTTTAGACATCAAATGTTAATTATAGGCTATTTCAGATGGATAACTACTGACCTGTTTATTATGTATTCTGCTTTATCTTACTAAATAGGATGTCTGTTCATTGCCGTTACCTGGCCAAATCTTAGTATCTGTAAAGCAATGCATTTCAAGGTTCTTAAATGTTTTTGGGGCTGGGCTGGTGTTCAGAATAACATACACTAGTTTTAAAAAGAAAAAATACATGCTTCTCAACTTTATTTTTTTTATATTTTATTTTTAGGTGGAACTATTTGCAGAATATACTGACGTAATGGATTACAAGAGAGCTGAAACTGTTTAAAGTAAGCAGTTTAATGATAGCAAACCTCATCGCAAGATGTTTTATGAAATGTGTTTCTAATTTAAAATGTAATGAATGCTAACACATTTCAGAATTCCTTGCAAACAAATAATAATCTATTACCAGTAGTTCACTAAATGGGAAACGTATTTTCATTTAACTTTATGTGAATAAAACACCCAGCACTGCCAACAAGAGGTCTCTTTGTATCTTCGGGAAATAAGTAGCCATTTGGTTTGAAAGGAAGGGAGGATGGAGTGGATTTTACTATGATTCAACTGTCTCTAGAGAATAATCTCAAAAATGTCATACAAGTATGGTTATAATCAAAAAGAATGTAGAAAAGTCTCACTGTTCTTTATGGAATAAGACACAGAAAAGCAATTTCTAACCATAGGTACAACACAAGTCAACTAGGATCTTAAAACTGAGCTGTGGTGGTTTTAACTGAACTATTACGTTGCCAGTGTTTACATTGCACTGATGCCTGTTTTGGCATTAAACAAAGTTAAGAATTTTTATCTGTTTGTGATTAAAGGGACGTGACAATACTGACAGCAGAGTAGACAAATTCTAAGTAGAATATGGCATTTGACTCTGTTCATAATGTTATAATTTAAATGAACTTCACTTTCATAATTTCTAAATAATTTTGACTTGTAGTAATCATAAGTCCTTTTTCTAATTGTAAATATATTTAAAAGCATCTTTAATCCATTTATAAAAATTGAAAATGTAATGTTGTAATGTGTTTTGATTAGCTATTTTTCTCTGTGACTGCTCTCAGCATAAGAACTGTTACTTGTTAAATTCTATATATGCACCAGTCTTCAACAGCCATACAGCCTGGGTTGTTCATGAAATGCTGACCCGACAAAGACAAGTGTAATAGTGTTCCATATAAATGACTTCCTTTATGTGCTGATTGATTGTCTGGTTTCAGAAAGGAAAAGGGGGGAGAAATGGGGAAAAATTGAAGTATAATTAGTTCATTGATAAAGTGTACAATAATTCAGTCTCTCTATCTTCCTAAATTTGCTACTAGCTATAGGTGGTATAAGGAAAAGAACAAATACACGGTTGTAGTCTTTTTTTTCTGAAATTAAGTATGTGTATTGGAGATAAACAAAAGTTGTTCTACTTAGTAGCAGGTTAAATTATGCAATATAAAATCTTGATTCTAACATAAGTGTTATTAAAAAAAATTCATTTAAAAACTTAAAAATTCTTGATGTTAAAAGTCTTGAAATTAAGACTATGACTGAAGTTTTAACTTATTACATGTTTCTCTAGATATTTGATGTTGTGTGGCATAGATTGTAAAATCTCAAAAATTTTTTAGATTTTATAATTTGTGCACTTTACTTTTTTTAATATTATGGATAGCACATTTTTAGGTAGCCAGGCAAGATAGAATGTTTTGTATCATTTTTTTCAGCAGTTCACTATAGTGTTCAGGCAGGTCTTGTAAACTTGACACAAATGTATTGCTCTGCATCGTAAATTCCTTAATTTTTCTCCTGGCTCAAAAGCCTGACAGTTTCCCACATTATGCTAATTGATTATACTTTGTTATACAGGATGGATTTGGCATGGAACTCTATTATACATCCAGGGTTCTTTAACTGTATCTGCTTGTTTTTTTCTGTCACATGCCTTTTTTTCACTCTGCTCCCTACTAGGGAGTCTGTGTATGCTTCCTTTCAAGTATCAGAAACTATATGGAAATAGAAATGCAATTTAATTTAATTTCTCCAAAGGCAGCAGCAAGTGCTGTGCTTGTAGTAAATTTTGCCTGTGCTTACTCAGGAATAAGATTGGTAAGAGAAAAAGTTAATGCTGGTTTTGGCTATGATAATTTGCAAATGCGTACTTCTATCAATGTTAAAATCTGGGTGTGCTGCAAACACTGTTCGAGCTTTCAAAGGTTTTTTTCCATACCTGAAATTATCCCCGACTTACGTCAAAGCAGTCTCAATTTGAAAGGATGTAACTTCACACACCAGCAAAAGCTGTACAGTAAAATCAGTCAAACTGAGGAAGCTCAGTTGGTTTTCTTTTGTACTGTCAAAATTTTAACAAGAGGAGAAACTTTCTGCTCTTGTTAAGAGACTTAAGAGATTTGTCTAAGACAACATCAGGTACTGAGCTTAGTTTGACATCTAAAGAAGAACACATGTTTTAATAAGGATTAACAGGACTTAACTACTAAATTAAAATCGGAAAAGTACTTCACAAGTTAATTACAAATCAATGCTTTACAGAAAATATTGTAACTTTCTGTCTAGGTGGATATGAATGGAGTAAATGATCCAACAGCAATGGATAGCTGCACACTTGCTAGTAAATGGTATTATCCAACAGCAAGTGATGTTTAAGTAACTTTCTGAAGATATTACACGAGAAGACTCTGATATGTCTCTATGAACAAGGCCTGGGAGTCCAGGTGTCCCCACCCCGGCCTAAACTATACCACTGGATTCAAACAGCAAAAGCAAATGCAGTGAACAAATAAATTTATTTTAGATCCTAGAGTCTTAGTAATGCAGGAGCTGTTGACAGCTTCTGTTTAACTGTATGGGTGGCAATTAATTAAAATGAAGCACCACTGTATAATACTTAATCCCTCAGGAGATGTTTTCGATCCTAATCTTGCCCCTTTTATTATGGGAAACAGATAAAAGTCATCTGAAAGAACTTGTTCTGTCCACTGACACAGGGGATTTTAAGAGGAGACAGTTTAAGGTGCACATGACGTTTTAGCTGTACTTTTAAGAAGTTAAACATGGAAGACGAAGAGCAAAAGCATATTCCATAGCTCAAATGAGTATTACTAAGAATGATCACAAGAGATTGCTGTACCATTTGGGGTTTGTAAAAGACAAGACGGTAACACTATCTAATCATTCCTTGTCCCATATGTTTAAAAAGAAAATTGCCACCAGAAAAAAAAAAAAAATTGTTCTGGTAACAATAATTTAAAGAATAGTTCCAAAATGTTAATTATTTTCTGGAAAGTATGGCATATCTTGACAGAGGTAGGAATATCTGAGCAAGAAGCCCTTCAGGACTACATTTCTCAGGATCTAGGCCACCTGGAAAAGTGTAATCTTTAATTACGCTGTTGTCTGTGTACAAATACTGATCTTAGTCAAAGTGCTTGCAAAATGAACAAGCTCCCTTGAACTTGAAGATTTTAAGAAATGTGGCTTTTGACCAATGAGGCTCTAACTTACAATGGAGTTATTGAGAAGACAACCGAGGAAAAAAGACTATTAATCTATTTTTTGATAACTTGCTAACCATGTGCTCATAATTTTCCTCTTCTGTACGAAGAAGCAAAAGTATACAGAAGATGGAAATATATATAACCAGGACTGATGAAATTTGGCTCTTTAGCCCCTTCCCAAGCTTACTACATTCTACAAACTGCAAATTGTGTTTGGTTCAAAGGCAGTTGCAGGTACTTTTTCACTAGAAAAGGATGGAGTTGTTCAGTCATGTATCATCTGTTAGTTATGATGAGTGGTCAGGCTGGTTCTACTTTCTGAATACCCACTTTGGGAATACAGAAATCTAATTTGCCGTTTATATGCATCTAATATATAAGTACCATCCATGAATAAACTATTTCAAGCTGATCCTTCTTTGCACAGAATAAATCAACATGCTTCAATGCCAAGCGCAGTTCTGACTGCACAGATCTCTGAGCAAGGAAATCTGCCATCTGACTGATCTCTTACTGTAACCGCCTTCAGCTATGAATTAATCTCAGCAAGGGAAACCTCTTAAGATTACATGTATTTGTTGAGTACCACTACTCCCACTTCTGAAGGAAACACATTATGATTCCTTCTTCTCTCTTTTTTTTTTTTTAACATTACATCTATTGTATAAGTGAATGCAGCGAGTTTGAAATAATTTATTATTTTTAAGTGGGGAATTTGACAACTATTCCCAGTTCTTCAACTATATCTTGGTTTCTGTAAGACCAACAGTGGTTTGTGGAGCTTAGAGGTCAGCTATCAATTTTGTCACCGTTGGCCTTGTTTTATATAATTGACTTGCTGAACGGATTCTTGCTGAGCAAACTTATTTCCCCCAGTGCTGTACCATTCAAGCATTCTGGCTGAGGTAGCTGGCATTCTGGGATGCCAATTACTGGTCTTCATGTCTGCATTTCTGCAAATGGTCTGATTCTATTGCTGGGAGGCTTCCAAACATGGAAAAAATAAGCAAAATGCTTTCCAACTTATGGAGGCGTAATGTTGCCAAGTAACTTGCGTACCTGGAGGCTTTTTGAAAGGTGCAAGAAAATGCTTTTGGTGCCAGCTGGAGAAGGAGATCTGAGTAGCATGCACGGATACTGAGCGCATTCTCAGCTTTCCTACAGAATTTCTGAGTAGTTTCTGTTTCTAAAATGTCAAACACCTTCAAAAACCCTCTGTCCAACAAAAAGAGGATAAGGGGGGGGGGAGAACAAAGAAAATATATTTTCTGAATAATACCTAGAAAAGCCACTATATAATGGCTTCTTCATGTGTTTAGTGTTCCTTTCTCTGTGTGCTGTATTGGAAGTAGGCAGCATCCCACACTTATAGGTGTGTGTTGCTTCATAATTCTTGATACCTCTTGGTTCAGTGACTTTTGGCCTAAAGATAGATATAGCTTTTTGTGAATTTCATAGTAAATACCATAGTAAATACCATACTCTCTTGGGTACAGGTCATTTATTGAAAGGGCAGTAGTTTTGATTAAAGAGCTAGTCAGGAACAAAACAGATTCCTCTTGTACACTTAGACACTACCCAATTTTA